GCATTTTCATTTAGGACATCCCAGTTTCTTTTATCTTGCAAAATTGTTTCCACATTTGTTTGTCAATAAGAGTCCAAAATCTTTTTCTTGTGATATTTGTCCACTTGCTAATTAAACTAGGAGTGTTTATCTACCTTCTCCATATAAACCGTCCAAACCATTTACCATGATCCATAGTGATATTTGGGGACCATCTCGGGTCGTATCTTTACATGAGTTTCGATGGTTTATTTCATTTATTGATGATCACACTTGTACTACCTGGACCATTCTCATGAAAACCAAATTTGAAGCTTGTGAAATATTTAAATGGTTCCATAATATGGTTGAAACCCAATTTTAGTGTTCAATCAAAATGTTTCATTCTGACAATAGTAGTGAGTATTTTGCCAATGTTTTGGGTTCTTTCTTTCAGGAAACCGGGATTATTCATCTTACTTCGTGTGTCAATTCTCCTCAACAAAATGGGATTGCTGAGCGAAAAAATATGCATATTCTTGAGGTTACTCGGTCTCTACTTTTTTCCACAAATATTCCTAACTATTTTTAGGGGGAAGCCCTTTTAATTGCCACTTATTTGATTAACCGTCTCCCTAGTAAACCGTTACAATTTAAGTGTCCGAGAGATGTTTTTCTTCAGTTTTTCCCAATTTTAAACCGATGACTTCATTGTTACCCCTTAGAGTTTTTGGTTGTACTATGTTCGTTCATAACAATGTTTCTTTCAGGTCCAAATTAGATCCTCGAGCATTTCGGTGTGTGTTTCTGGGTTATTCATCGACTCAAAAGGGCTTTCGATGTTATTATGCGAATTGGGTGCTTCATCAGTTAGACATCAAAAACGCATTTCTAAACGGAAACTTGGAGGAGGAAGTATATATGCGAATTCCACCGGGTATGAAGAGTAATACAGGAAAGCACGTAGATTACTAAAGTCCTTGTATGGACTTAAGCAAACTCCAAGAGCCTAGTTTGACAGATTTACAAAGGTGATTATTCAGGATGGTTACAAGCAATGTCAATCAGATCACAATTTATTTGTCAAAACATCTTCAAACAACAAAAATGCAATTTTGATTGTCTATGTGGATGGTATCATTCTAACAGTGATGATTGTATGGAGATAGAAAAATTGAAAAAGCTACTGGCGAAGGAGTTCGAAACCAAAGACTTGGGAACTTTACGGTATTTTTTAGGCATGGAGGTTGCAAGGTCAAAAGAAGGAATAATGATCAACCAAAGGAAATATATCCTTGATCTACTATCAGAAACTGGAATGAATGGATGTAAGCCGGTTGAAACACCCATGGAAGCAAATCTGAAGCTAAGGAGAGAAGAATTGGGAAGTCATGTGAACAAATAACAGTATCAAAGGCTAGTAGGTAAACTAATTTATTTATCACTTACTAGACCTGATATTGCGTTCCCTGTCAGTATAGTGAGTCAATATATGAATAATCCAAGAGAAGAACATTTAGAGGTTGTGAATAGAATTCTAAGATACTTGAAAATGACACCAGGACATGGATTAATTTTTAGAAAGAGTGATGATAGAACAGTAAGAATTTTTAGGATTTAAGCTAGGCAAGTGAATTAACGGATAGAAGATCTACAACTGGTTATTGTTCATTTGTTTGGGGAAATCTGGTTACTTGGAGAAGTAAAAAACAGGCGATAGTGTCTCAAAGTAGTGCAGAAGCAGAATTTAGAGCAATGACACTTGGAATTTGCGAAGGAATTTGGCTTCAAAGAATGTTAACTGAGCTAGGGTTATGTGCCAACAAATGGTTTGAACTTTAAAGTGACAGTAAATCTGCAATAAGTATTGCAAAGAATCCAGTTCATCATAACCGAACGAAGCATGTGGAGATTGACAGACATTTCATCTCTGAAAAGGTGAATGGTGGAACGGTGAAGCTCAATTATGTTTCAACGAGGAATCAGTTAGCAGATATTCTCACCAAAGCACTTCCAAGAATTACCTTTGATGAGATTATATCCAAGTTGGGTCTTTTCAACATTTACTCCCCAACTTGAGGGGGAGTGTAGGTTATGCAATAGATAAGTTAGTATTTTAATATAACACTACCTCTTAGAAAGTTAGATATGGATAACTATTAAGTAGTTTACTTCTAATAGAAAACTTACTCCTAACTTTTCTTATAAAAAGATGTATTTTCACCATTCACAATATATAATAAAAATAGTTCATTTTCTTCTCCACTATGTTGTTTACTCTTTATCAAAAAAGTTGGAATCATCTAATAATCTTTCCTCAAGTAGTTAGTGGAGTTAATAAAAAAAACTAGTTTTCTCTCATTGGTGTGCCGCTCATTTTTTTTCTTTTTCATCTTTGTTAATCGACGACAACATCGTCTTTAATGTTGGTTGTCGACTACCAGTATTTTTTAGTATATTTTTCTTTTCTATATCATATCTCTATTTTCTTTTGTTTTTTATTTTCAAAAAATCTGCTTGTATGTCATGTTTTCATTTGCCTTTGTGACATGTTTTCTTATGCTTCTTGGCATGTTTTTCGATTGTTTGGCTTTTTTTTCATTTATCTTTTTTCTAAGGGTTGATTTTTCATCGTCACGACTGATCAAGATGACGCTTATATGATATTTCGTTAATTTTTCGTTTTGGACCCTCGGATTGGATTTGGGTACCTAATTTACGTTCGTGGATAGCTTCACGCCACTCGAGTCTGATTTGCAGTTTGTCAGTTGTCTTTCAATAGTTTGATCCCCTTTTATGGTTCGTTTGTCGATGCAATCATGTTTGTTTGTATCTATCTTTGTTCGAGTGTTTTGGTTAGATTTTGAATATTTCCTTGGGTCATATGTGATCTTAAGTAGCTAGTTTTGTTTCAATGAAGAAATTTTCTTAATTATGTGTTTAATTTATAATTTTGATTATACATCTTTATTGTAATTTGAGGTATTTCCTATTTTGAACAAAATTAGCTGCTTCTATCAAAAAAGAAAAAATCTTTCAAGCAGTTGGCAACTAGGAATTAGATTTTCAAATACACTTTGGCAAATGTATTCATAAGTGGCCAAGAAAACATATTAGCTTCCACTGAATTTCAGTGATAACTAAGTAATTTGAAGAGTTAGGACCAAAGCTAGAGTGTCTATATCCTAAAGAAAGCAAGAATGAAAAAGAATCAATAAACTGATTGATGAACATTGTTTGAAACAAACCGTCTTGTAGCTGCAGCAGATGGAATTACAGACAATAGCCATAGTTTTCAAGTCTTAAGAGGGTAAATCCGGTCCTAAAGCTCACTTCCAGTCATTGTTAAGCTTCGATAAAAGTAAAGAGTGTTTAGAGTTTCAAGCTTACATAAAAGGGCAATGTCACCAAATGTGGTTTCTCCAGCACAAATGCACGGAACATTGGGAATGATTTCAAGTTTTTGAAAATAAGATAATCCGCTACCTTAAAAGAGGCATTATCTTTAAAAGAACTTGCACAAAATTTAATTCCTTTACTTAAGCACATCAAATTCTCAGCTCAACACATGGAAACATGCTGCAAGAGAGAAGTATGATTTTATGGAACCAACACGTTTGATAGGCAAAAGAGAGCTGACATATAGACAATAAAAAGCACTCACACTTGCCATGCTCATTCTGTGTGGCTATTTGCTTTAGCGGCCGGAATCTGAAATAGATAAACAAATGCATTAGACTGATACGTGTTCCAACTTCAAATAGTAACTATAAACCAGTGTCTCCAAAGTGAGCAACCCTTTAGTCTAAAAATGTATATAATAGAAACCAAATACTGGTTTGAGATACGTTTGAAGTGTCAATAAAATAATGAGCAATAGTACTTCAAATATTGAAGTGTTTTTTAAAGTATAAAAAGCGTACTTCTCAAACAGAATCTAAAAAGCGAACAAACCTTGGGAGAACAGAAATAGCAAAAACAAAAAGGGGGAATTTTCAATTCTTGGAACTTAAAATAACGTAAATGCTCAGATTTTGCTGTTGTGATGGGAAAAGAAGAATTGGGGAAGGAACAAATTAGGTGGAGAAGGAGATGATTAGAAGAAGGAATATGATAAGAATGGAAGAAATAAAAGGAAAGCCGCCTACGTGAACAATAAGAAATGGAAGTATGTTATACTACATGGTAATCGCAGTAGAAATTGATTATATCATAAAACAAGACATTAAGAAATTCAAGTTTTTTTTTTCTTTTCTTAATATTAAGCACATGTCTCAAATGACTAGTCAATAGTCTTCTCCTCCTTCCCAAGTTTCAACCATCGATCGGCAAGAAAGTCATAACTCGACGAACTCTTCAATCACGACTCTGCTGTTCACCTCCAAAAGTTCATTAATGTCTACATTATGGTGTGTATATATATATATATATATTGCACTCATAAACATGGTGAGAACTGGGAGAAGAAATAAACATCCAAGCTAAACACGAGAATCCGTGTGATTTTGGATACAATATTGTATTATTGTCCAACAAAATTAAAAAAAATTGGTCCATACGGTTGAAAGTAGAGAAACCCATTGAAAAGCTGCATAAAGAGCATGATTTAGGGTGACCGGCCGACCACCCACTTTAGGTCAGATCAACAGGTATAGATTTTCAAGTATGAGGTTCAATCAATCGATGTCTTTAAGAGGGTTTGCTTGTTAGACAGGGTACTGCTGTACGGTCGTTGTCAATTTTGATATTGTCAAAAACACCCAAACCTAACATGGAGAGAAATGCATATAGTCTTCAAATAAGAGATCCATGCATGCGCATTAACATTTTTCAGACATTTTGACTTTTTTTTGTTTCCAAATGTTCACGGCCCCAAATGCCAGAAATTTCTGTCCTTATATATTACATCTCACAAGGCTCCCAAGTCGCGCATGATAGCTGTCTCTCTCTCCCCTCCCCTGTTTAGATTTTTTTTTGTACAAACCTTAATCCATATCGTCTTCATCTTGCCGCTGGATATTTATGGTAATCCGAACCAGAAAGGAAAAAAATATGGGAAATTTCAACACGACTCTAGTTTCATGTAAAGGGTACGTGGATTGAGATCTTCTTTTTATTAGATTATCAATCTATTCTCCAATGGAGACTACTGATAAAATATTATGCCTTGACAGAAGAAGATCAAAGCAGAAGAGAAAACCAGTTGTGGGTTCTTTCAACAACCCCATTGGAACTCATGAAGGAATAAAAACAATAGAGGCGGATAATCTTTGCAACTTGTCAAGAGACTCTGGCCTTTGCATTTGCGTAGTCACTTGGAACATGAACGGACAGGTTAAAATCAATTGTTTGAATTCAAATCGACTAATCATCATCTTTCAACAGTGCTGAGTTCGATATTGATCATTTTTCACTACTCGTTCAAATATGCATACTGTGTATCCTCCTCTTATAAGGTCTCGTATGAAGATCTAGTCGAGATGACCGGAAGGAACCGGCGGTTTGATCTACTCGTTGTCGGTTTACAAGAGGTGCCTCGAGACAATGTTGCACGATTGTTGCAAGATGCCCTAGTTGAAACACACGAGTAAGCATGCAAAACCTCTAGTTTTTATTTTCTTTGACGCTTCAGTCAACTCGCCGTTTAATCTGCACATATATCAGGTTGTTAGGGAAGGCAATGATGCAGTCTCTGCAACTATACGTGTTCGGACCAAAGAATTCGGACTTGTTTTTAAAAGGCAAGAGATCCTGCCAGATTTTTTGTGAAATCCATAATTAATTTTTCTACTTAAAATATAAGATTAACATATATATCAGATGAGGGTAATGGATTTGTGCGTGTGGTTCAATCACATTTAGATCTTAAAGTGGATAAACATTCAGTCGGAGGCTTTGGAGGAATGATGAGGAGAAAGAAAGGAGCCGTGGGCATCCGTATCAGTTATAAGGGATTCAGAATGGTGTTCATCAATTGCCATCTCTCCGGTAACCCCTCTTTTTGAAACTCATTAGAAGAATAACCGGCGAATATGATTGTAAGACGTGCCATGTTTGCTGTCATTATAGATATAATAAATAACAGTATCACCATTAATTATGGTAAAATTTCTTAAATTTATCTCAAATTTAAAAATTAGATAAATTAATCCTTCTTAAAGAGCTAGTATTTAATTAAATACAATAAATCACAATATTCATGTTTTTCATCAAAATTATATAATTTTTAACTGATATAACAATAAATTTAACTTTCAATTGTTTATATATTATGTCGATTTTAGAACTAAAATCAAATTCACATAATATATAAATAATCAAAGTGAATCAAAACTATGTAAAATTAACAAAAAAAATATTAATGTTATAATTAATTATTTACTTTTAAAATTGATTTAAAAGTTTACTTTTTTTTCTTGAAGAAACTAATTTTTTTTTAATATTCTAGAGTGAAAATAGGATAGATTTTGTTCAAATATTTTCTTAGACTATTGATGATGTGCAGAAACACTCCACATACGCAATTGTTCAAACTCAAATCTTATAAAGAAAGAAGGGTTCGTTTGGTTATAGAAAATATTTTCCATTTCTGTTTTTATTTATAGAAAATTATTTTATTTTTCATTTTTTTGAAAATTATAAAACATGTTTGGTTAATATAAATGAAAACTTAAATTCAAAAATAAAAATTGTGAAAATATATTTGGTATCTAACTTTTTTAAAATAGAGATGGATAGATAATTATTAAATAATTAAATTAAAATATAATTATTAAAAACTTTCTTTACATAAATTTAACATGTTAGATATGCAATAACAATAGAATTGATAAGAAATTTCATAACATAAAAAATCTATTTAATTTTTTGATCAGCTGAATCAAATCGTCAAGATGATTACATGATAGTTCACAAAGTATTTATGATAATCTACAATATTGATGTGACAGTTCATTATGTTGTTGTAACAGTAAACAATGGATAATGATGTGATAAATAAGTTTAATTGATGTTTTACCAAGTTTGAGGGCCTAATTAACATTTTAGAAAGTTTGAGGACTTATTGAATTTTTTAAAAAAAATAGGATTATTTAAATTTAAATTATAGAATATAAATAATTATTTAAGATATTGAATATAACATGATACAAATTTAAATTATTAAAAAAATTAGTTTAAAGACCGCATTGAGTGTAAAAAAAGTTTAGCGACTATATTGATTTTTTTCAAAAGTTTGAGGGTTTTATATACCATTAAATTAAAAAATTATTGTTAGAAAGATTTGAACATGCGTAAGTTAAGTTAAAATTTTAGATTTCGTATTTTTTTTTTTTTTCAAATTTCTAAAACAATTTAAATGAAAATACTAGAAACATCTTTTTTATGTTTTTATATTTTCACTTATTTTTGTTTTCATTTTCTAGAAATCATTTTCTAATTTTACTATCAAACATGTTTTCTTCAATATTTTCTGTTTTCTAAGAAAATGAAAATAATATATATTTTCTTGAATTAAACTGACCCTAAAATTTTCTAGTTCTATTTTGTTACTCTAGTCACTCAATTGAATTTTTTATTTTAAAATTAAAATAGATTTAAGAAGGTTTCTTTACCATAAATATCGATGAAAAAAAATTCCCAGGAAAAACAATCATAATAGCACTAATACTATAGGGGAACGAAATTTAGAGGCCCAGTTTCCTCAAAATCAATTCATTTGGATTTAATGGGAGCCATAAAATAGAAGAGTTTTAGGGTGCGGCAGCCTAAAATAAGACTAAGGAAAGGCGTGATTAAAAATATTGCGACTTAAAATTTTATAAATAACATAATATTTTAGGTTGTGCGCAACCTAAAATATCATATTTTTAAATATTTTCGGTTACAACCTAAAATATTATAAGAATTGTAACATTTTTCGGTTGTAACTTAAAATATGTTTGTAGCCGGAAAAAATAAGAAAAAGTTAATATTTTAGGTCGCGACTTATATTAGCCTTATAATATTTTAGGTCGTGCATTATACTAGCCTTATAATAAGTGATTGTACCGTGTAATTCTCCCATAAAATATCAAATTTGACATTACATTTTGGGGGCAGTAACGATCTGATCGGATATTGTGTTGAAAGCAGCTCACGCTGGAAATGTAGAAGAGAGGAATGCAGAGTGCAGGCACATATCTCATTCTCTCTTCTCAAAGTATTGGAACCCATATGCCAGGCCCCCACAAATCACCATATGGTTAGGCGACCTCAATTACAGGCTACAAGGCATATATACACACCCAGCCAGAGACTTGATACAAAGAAACCTTCACACAGTCGGTTCCATCTTTTTGCCATTAATTTTTCACGATTTATCTTTCATCCTTGCATAATGGCTCTCACCTCCACATTGCTGGGTTTTTTTTTTTTTTTGCAGCTACTTAGAAGCAAAGATCAACTCCTTCAGGAGGCCGAAAGAGGCCAGATTTTAAATGGATATTGTGAGGGAACGCTCACATTCAAACCAACGTATAAATATAATCTAGGAAGTAGCAATTACGATACAAGTTACAAGGTGAGGGTGATTAAATATAATGTTCTCTTCTCTGTTAGATTCAATCTTTCAAAACGATCGATCATCTATAACATTCGACAGGTTCGAGTTCCATCGTGGACCGATCGGATCTTGTTCAAGATCGGAGATCCTGGCAATATCACTGCAAGTTTGCACTGTTACGAGTCAGTTGATGACATTTATAGCTCCGACCATAAGCCTGTGAGAGCCCACATATGCTTCAAAGTTAGCAAATACCAATCGCATCCCACAAGGAATTCCATAGTGGATATGTAATTTCTCTGCAGATATGTGCTTTCATGTCAGTGGTCAATGAAGACGATAAGACTTCAATATTTTTATGCAACGCGGTTACAGAAGGCACGATGGGAAAATTAACGTTGGCTAACCAAAACTTTGATTCACATTGGAGAAATGGTCAAGTACAGGGTTAGATTTCTAGAAGGCAATTTGAACATTATTATATTCCATTTCAGCATATTAAAAGGATAAAAGTGTGGATAGCTTACATCATTCCATCTGCCCTTCTCGTGTGGAGCCTATGGTTCGGACATTTCACAATTGTCTTACATGTAAACATCAAACCAAATCTAAAAAAAAAAAATAACATTGTAATGGTGGAAGATTAACTGATGAACTTCAACCAAAGCCATCTTTGTTGACATGGATTCCTTGGCAACATTCTTTTAATTCATTAAATTTTATTGATTTTCCTAATTTTTCTTTTGGAATATCATTTCTATTCACTTGTGTACAATTAGAATTTACTGCAGCACAATTAAATGAAAAAGGCATATGAACAACTTTTCATAATAATTGCACATGTAATTTACTCTTTTAACCTTACTCTCATGCAAACTATTTTATTTATTTACGCAATGAAAAGTGTCAAATAAAAAAAATGTTATTTTTCTTATAGGACCTAAGTTCAAGAAACTATATTTATAGAATTTGTGTGTTGAAAGAATATTTATTCTACCGATTTATCTCGATTTAAAACTATCAACAAAATCTTCAAAGAAAACCAACCTTTTTTAGAGCCATACATAAATGTTAACTGCTTTCAGGAAGATGTATGTTACTAAAATTTAACCAGTAATAATAATAATAATAAAGGTAAACTACAACCCGCCTAAACAAAGCCAAGAGACAAATGACCGAAAGAGAAGTAGATGATTGATGTCCTGTTTGCAAGTGGTGGGATTGGAATCTATACCAGAGAGTCTAATCTTTTTTACACTTTTAGCATTATAAAATGATCTCTGTCTCTTTGGAATCCAAAGACGATTTTCGGTCCTTTATCTTCCGTGTTTTTTTTTTATCTGTTTTGGTTCACTCACTTTAAACCCATGTTACCAGTTCGAAAGAATAAATAGCCAGCCAACATTTCATGGTTAAATTTTAAAAATTCCAATATTTTTAGATAAAGTTTTAATTTCAAACTTTATTAAAGCAAAAGTAATATTAAATAACTTGAGTTTTATTTAAAAGCGTATTCAGTTTAACTTTAAGGATTATCGAACCCATATAATTACGGACACCGAATAACTTAAAAAAGTTGCTTCTTTGATAGGGGGTCTTCCCCTACATGTAAAAGTTAAGCTTCCAATTCTCAATCACCAGGATAGAAAAATGCTTACTATAGTTTTTAAAAGGTGAAAAACTCAATTGGATTTGACGAAACTTCGTCAATCCGATTCGGTTATGACAAATATTCATCAAATTTGTACGCTTTGTGCATGTTTGACTTCGAATTTGCGTACACGTGGGGACACCTCTTTCCTTGAGCTTTATTCGTCTTCCAGTTCTCACCAATTACCATGTTAAGTTATGTCTTAAATCAATGAAATTTCTTTATTTTTCATTTGCTTCCAGTTTTATTTGAGGGACTTGGGTGTGGTAATATTCTTCTTTGGAGAAGAAATAAAAAGGGTGTAACTGTTCTTCCCTGTTCTTTGCATCTTTATACGCAAAAGAGAAAAACCAAAAAAGATTTTTTTTTTTAAAAGAGAGAGAAAAAGAAAAGTAGAAAATAAAAGAAAGAGAAAATAACCTCAGTGACCAAAAATCACTTATAATATACGAATTTAACCAACTTTTTTTTTTATTTGCCAAAATGACCAACAAATTCGCAACGCGAACTCCAATTTCGCAACCCAGTTTTCAATTTTGCAACGCGAATCTGTAAATCGCAAGGCGAATTTGTAAATCGCAACACAGAAGTCAAATTCGCAACGCGATAGTCAAATTCACAACGCGAAAGTCAAATGTTTTTACGCGAAACACTATTAATTTCGCAACACAAATGTAAACAGTATTATCGCAAATCATCTCTAACCTAAAACCCTAAATCATAACTCAATCTCATCTCCATCTCTAACTCTCTACGGCGACATCCGTCCCCATCTCCGACGAAATCCGTCTATCTCCATCTCTCAGAGCAACCCTCACAACCATTCACGGTCAGAAATGGAAAATCAACCACCGATGGTTAGTTTTTTTAATCTTTTATTTTTATTTTGAAATTTTTGTATTATTATTAGATTTTTCTTATATTGATGATAAATTTACTGGTAATTTCAATATATATAGATTAATCATTTCACTGAGATTGCTTAGTAAATTCATTCGGTTGCTGCCAATACTGCTAAATTGCTTAGTATTTGTCTTTGTTTTGTCTTTTTGTTAAAGAAACCCTAAATCGCAACACCAAAATCACAACGCGAAAATGAAAATCACAACGCGATTTTAGTTTCGCGTTGCGATTTTCATTTTCGCGTTGCGAATTTAAGTTTCATAAACTTCTTTTATTCTGCAAATTGAAACTTGAATGAATTGCATTACTTCAACCAAAAAACAAAGACAAATACTAACTTCACAGTGTTGCTAATTTAAGTTTCAAGAATAAACTACTACTCTTTATGTTGTCCTTGAACCTACACTAAACCTATATGTTGTCCTTTTAAATGTTTATATAAGTGCTTACTTCTGGAATGTTATCTGATGCATTTTGTGAACTATGATGGAATAATGACTTGGTTGAATATCGTGCTAGTTTGAAACATATTTGGCTTTGTTTTCACTGTTTAATATCATGTCTGTTTATAGAGTATAATAAGGAGTTTTTGGTATATCTAACTGTATATTTATTGTTTTTGTATAAATTTTTTCGCCTGCATTGACCTTAAGGAATAAATTAAGCCTAGCCACTAAAATTACGTCGACGCTTACACTTCTACAAAGAAAATTGTTTGAGAATACTTGCTTCGGGCTATGGCTGAAAGTGCAACATACGAGAGGAGATGCTATGTTGACACATTTGTTTCTTCAGACCATTACTAACGATCTACCCGAGGGGATACAACATGGTGATGAGGAGATATGGTTTCATTTTCCTCCGGCACATACTTGTTTTGGGCGGGAGGAGTTTTGCTTAATCACTGGTCTACGCTTCGGACACGATGATGTAGGTCGGTACACTAGTCATATCGCCCGCCCTTCATGGTTATCTCGGGTTTTTCCTGAGCTGGCAAAGTCGAAGCTGAGTTTACACGTCGATGACTTAAAGAGATTATTTGATAAAGATGGTTTTACTCGGATGGATGACCTTGATGTTGTCCTAGTATGCCATTTATTACTTTTGCATGCCGGTTTTTTAGGCAAAGAGGGCAAACAACCTATCTCCGAGGACCTAATATTATTGGTAGATGACCTAAATGCATGGAACATATTTTTGTGGGGTTCATATCTATGGAAAGCTACCTGGAAGAAGTTGTCGTCTGCCTTTGAGGACCGAAAAAGTTTGCGGGGCGATGGTTCTAAATACACTTTGACAGGCTTTACTTGGGCCTTTAAGGTAAAAATTTCTATATAATGTTTCCAAAATTATAATTAATTATTTAACAATTACTAATGTTTGTGTATTATATTGTTTGTAGATTTGGATATTTGAGGTTTTCCCCAGCATGCGGACATATGCGATAAAAAGATCAAATTATATTCCTAGGGCTATTACCTGGAAGAGGATCCACATGTTGGATTGGGAAGAGTTACTCCCATATACAACAATGAATGATGTAAGTTAACACACAAATAATACCATATATAAACAAGTTATTACTAGTACAAGTTTAACTTTGTTTGAGCTTTTATATTGTTAGGAGGCCAACTATCCATTACAGAGGTTGAGCTTGCCACTGATTGGTGGCGCGCTAGTAAGCGGTTTTTTGATGGGACGGATGATGAGCACCCCCTACTTCGAGAGCCATCACCTGATCGGGCCGATTCTACAGCTCACACCCAGAGCCATCACCTGATCGAGCCTCTTCTCCACCATCACCTCATGATAGGTGACCAGCAAAGAGGCCACGACATTTATCTCCCTGTTCTCCACCTCCACGGGATGAGTTAGGGGAATTACGTGATGAGGTCGGTACTTTACGTGAAGATAATGGTGCATAGCGTGATGAGGTTCGATCTTTACGTGGTGAGGTGGATTTTTTACGCGATGACAATGGTGCGCTACGCAGTGAGGTATCTACTTTACATGATGAGGTTTTCTCTCTACGCGAGATTGTTTCATTGTTGCAGAATGAGGTTCATACTCTACGCAATGAGGTAAATTTGTTTAATACTATACTAAAAATGCAAATAACCTTTTTCAGCATTATTTATTTATTTATTTACTGATTTATGTATTAATTTATTTTCAGCGGCCCGATAAGGTAGATGCTTTACGGCAGGTTTTTTTTGCACGACGGGGTTCACGCATCAGACGTCGTGCACGTGTCATTACGTCTCCGTTCACCCCACTAGTGCCAAGACTCCGTAAGAATAAGTCTGATGCACCTATCATCATTCAAGAGGTGCCTCCTATCATTCAAGGGGCCCCTCTCATCATCGAAGAAGCCCCTCCCATCGTTCAAGAGGCCCCTGTCATCGTTCAAGAGGTCTTTCCCGCCGTTCAAGAGCCCGATTCACATGGCGTCATAAGTCGACATATTTATAAACCCCTTCCTGTGCCCGATATGATGGATGCGAGTTGGCTTTTGTATGTGCTGCCGACCAGTACCATTCCTCAGGAAGAGAGGGAAACACTACCATGAAATAATTACGGATAATACCCTTTGGGCTAAGACCGCAGTTGATTTTTATCTACATGAGCGGAGCAATGGGTGTTATTCTGACCTATTCCAAATCGACGATGCTTTTCATTTGTTTCTTTATCGATCTTGGTGGCGTATTTTATTAGGGGTTGAAGATAATGGCTATCTCGAAGGGGTGGTAAGTCTTATATTCTTCTTATATTTCATTTTGATTAATTTTTTTAAATTATTAATAAATTCACTAATATATTTATTTTTTTATAAAACAATATATTAATGCATGGGTGTCACGTTTTCTAATAATAAGGAAATTGAAGAAAAAAAATACTCGATAGACTATTATGCCGACGTCTTTTCACGCAGCTCACTTGAAGGATCAGAGAGATGCTTCATATACGTTGGGTAATGGAAAAACTAAACTTTATCCTACGTGGTGGGAGATCGATAAGTTTAGTATTTATTTTTTGAATATTTTAAAGGTTTTCATAAATTTTATTTGA